AGCATGTTGTAGCACATAGTGTTGGCTAACGTGCATAGAGATTCCATCATCTTTTGCAGCTGATTAGTTTGGAATACATTGCTATAAATCGGCGCCAATAATTTTGAGACACCCTGTACATTTCAATGCTACATATGGGCTTTTTGCCGATTTGTGGCATTAGAGTGATGGAAAAGGCTCACAAAGGGCGTGAATGATTTGGTTACGTTCTACTTAGGTCTTATACGAAAACATGAGCTATGAAACTCCATCTAACTTTGAATGTTGATAGGATGATGACTGTAAGGTTATCTCGAAAGAGTATGGAACCGTCAGGTTCATCTAGAGAATACGTAGCCCTTTATCTTCTTCAGTATTACGGTTGCGGTTGTTTATAATGCTGGAAGTTTATGTTTTCCGATTTAGGCCATTTTTATTGTTAATAAAATTACAGTTGAATCCAACCACAACAACGACCACAAGCGCCCCAGTAACGGATGCAGATGGTAGCACTACAACTGCTGCCCCCACTACTATGAATCCCAACCAGGTTCTGAATAACGTGAGTGCTCGCTTTGTCCCTCACCACTATACATAGTCATTTACTGTTCCAGCAAAGATCTGGTTACAGTAGTGCTGTAGTGAAAGCGACCTTGTTTATCAGCCTTGTGATTTCAGCTGCAATTCGCCGATGGAAGCCGTCCGAAAACGATCAGCTGGGGCTGTAAGCGAGGGGTCGAGGTGTGCTGCGGCACGGACTGTTGTCCTGCTCCAGTCAGCAACAACAATGCAGCTCCTGGTGCTGGTGGAAGTGTCGGTGGTGGAGGAGCGGCTGGAGTCGCTCTTGGGTAAGTTACAGCTCCAGAATGCTATAACCTTCGTCGCCATTTGTCAACAATTGTTGTTGCTTTGTGTTTCATTGAAGTCGTGCAGTGAAGGGAGTGTGGGTCCCGAATTACTCGCTTACGTGTCATTTGTTCCTTTCTGTTCAATTGAGTGGTTCTTTGAGGAGAAGAGAAGGGGATTCTCCTTCAGTGGCGCTATGTATAAGGCAGGAGACTCAAAGAAGGTGTAAAAGCCAGAAGCTAGACGTATGGGACAGCGTGAGCTTCTCTCTGCGAAGTGGAACCCATCCTACATGAGTTCCAGTACTTTCCAAGAATCTCTGCTAAACCATTGTTTACTATTAGAAGTAACTCATAGTGATGGGCGGTACTAACACTGGAATACCGAAATCATCTTATGCTGTTCCGCGAATCCCCCTCCTCGTCATTTGACTGCATATCCCCCGTAAATTACGAGAAGCCATGGAGTGCAAAGCTCAAGGCAAGCGAGCGCGAGCGGCCCCAAAGGAAAGATGAAGGAACGTGATGAAGCAGGAACTTCCACAAGCTGAGGTAACGGCAGAAGATGCCGCAGACTGACGAATAAGGCGGAACCTAACAAAATCAGTGGATACGCGGAATCAACGCTAGAGAGAAGAAGAAGTCTCCTCGTTCAGTAGAAACGGAGAAGGAGTACCCCGTGATCAGTCGGCTACTCAGCCATATGCATAATGACGTTAGAAATTACCGATATCGCTACTGAGGCGTACAATCCTCAGATGGAGGAATATGAAGGTAAAGTTCGAGACATTGATCAGCCCCATTATGCCCCCACTTGTTCGATTTCCTCTCGGATTCCAAAGGCGGTCGAATGTATAGTTGCCCTATACAGGGACTTGCGAACGCTAACCGTGTACAACTCAGTAGACTTATTTCCTTGAACGAGTCTAGTGGACGATGCTGTGTAGGTTAAATCCTGGATATTCGACCAGGCTGATTAATCATTCCATCACTACAGAATTGGTTAGTTGATGTTAGACTCGTTTGGAAAGTCCTGACTTGTGGACCTGGTGGCCTTCGCAAATCATTGTATAGTATATATACAAAACGCCCGACGATTTTCAGTAGGAGTCGAGTGGGTGGACATATTCCTCAAACGAGACTGATCAACGCAAAAGATTTTATCCTTCATCCTTTAGATGAGTCTGGTGCATTCTGACTAACTCTATTCGATGAAGGTTGGTTAGTCTGGGCGGGTAATGATTCGTGCCCCAGGTGAAGCATGTTAAAAATTTGGGTCCAGGTGATACTTGACCGTAATAGACTTCTTGCAGCGAGTACCTTTCTTTTTGATTGGTTCAATGTTATCGAGATGTAATTTGTAGTGATGATCAGCGTACTGGTACAATTGGTGATGGAATTGGAGTGGCAGCATAGCGAGATCTGTGTTGCTTTATAATCGCTTTATTCTGACTCTAGTCATACTTGCTTCCGCCACAGCTGCGAGATTTCCATCGTTAGGAAAATTCTGTAAACGGTCTAATCAATGCGTGTTATTCTGACTCTGGCTGATTCTTGTTATATGTCATGTCAATAAAGCGTTCTGCAACTGTTTCTGGGAGGTTAGCATCCACCTGCCTGCTGCACGACTCCTACCGTACTCTATCCTACCGTGTTTGTGTCCCCTATCTTCTCCATCTAATTATGAACTTTCCTTCTAACCAAACGATCATCAATCGCTTCGATTCAGACTTGCGCTTCTATTGCTACTCTGAACGGCTGTAAGTGAGTGATTTAGCGACTAACTTTCGCTAACGCCTTATCTAACCTCAGTCCACACTATGTTCTGTTCCGTCAACCCTTAACTTACCCTGTGGCTTGAGCTGGTAGAGAGAGGTTCGAGACTTCACCTTCATTGTTGCTTTTTCCTCCGGTCATGTTCTTCTCACCCATCGTTAACTAACTCCATCCAATTTCAATGTTTTTTCACTATTTTTCTTATGTTGAAGTTTGTTTCCACACTTCGAGCTGTCCGCCCACCCCAGCGCATAGAGAATGTTATCGATTTTACGCGCGCAAAATCAATTATCTCGTTGACAAGGCAGTTGCGTGCGTAAAATCGATTTTTTGGTTGACAGGACAGGTTGAAGTGTGGGAGCAGCTTGCTTTGCATGGTCCAGCATGAAATACTTCTTTTATCACTCAATCTATTCTTTCAGCATCCTTATCCTCGTACTTCTATCCTGTTGTTGTTGTGTTTTCATCGCCTACAAATGTTGTCGTTCGGCTTTTGATGGTTGCCTACCTCAGAGCGATCATAAACAACAAGAGGGCTATCCAGGTGAGACAGATTCGAAGTTTTTTTTTTTCAAATATTTCCCAGAGTTCGAATTTTTGGACAGCTGAATCGATGAACGCAGCATTGAACAATGCAAAAGTAGTTTTGAGTCCGAGTTTCCAATACGAAATGTGACAGTTTTGGAAATGGGCCAATGGATGGAACATGGTGTTGTCCTCTGCAATAACAATACTGTGGAGCCTTTTAATGTAAACTTCTATTAATATCTTTCCGACATACCGGTCTAGGAAGTTTTTCGTGTCTGAGGGTGAGGGTTAGTCAAACACAATGGCCCACGGATGCTCAGGGTGTTGGTTGCCAAGGTTTCTGAAAGGAAATACGTACCAGTGACAATACAGCATGTTCAAGTGAGCTCTTCCTACGATCCTTCCAAAAAGTGCGCAGAGCCGGTTGTAGGTATTCAGTTAAAGCCGTATTACTCAGAACGGAATGATCCATAGCGGTCATTTTGTGGCGAGCCTCACTGGGAAGAAACTTGGGGGCTCGAACAACGGACATGTAACGTTATCAGGGTGAGAAGTGGATCTACTCCTCAGGTCAAAGTGCAGAATTCATTCAATGATTGTTACTATAAGTCTTACCCCGAAACCATTGCCTCGCTTTAAAAAACAGTAGAATGAAAATTCCGAGAGCAAGATCCCTATATTCTATGCGACTGAGAGAATGGGTAACCCATCATTAGCCAGCTCTCTGGCTCAACGCAAGATTTGTGCTGAGGAAGTGTAAAGAATTGCCGGGGTCTTTAGTTAGACCCGATCACAAAGGCTACGTCTTGGATACTGTCCAGCTTCTGTAAGGTAGTCAATTAGATTCGAAAAACAGTAAACTAAGGAGAAAAATGCAGTCCATCTATAATTCCTACAGAACTTTATTGAAGAACTCGTGGGTATGTGAATGTAAAGAGCTGGCGTGCCAGAAAGGCTCACTTCTGGAGAAGGTGATCAGTTACTGCTTAAAGAACCTGAGCTCAGGTCTTTTCCAGCATCTCAGGGAATCGACCAAGAGGGAGATAGGCAAAGATGAAAGGGCATGCCCACATTCACCTGAAAATACCATTGCATTCTCCGAATTCTCACCTTCGTCTTCTTCATAACAGCGTTTCCTCCTTAGCTCTATAACTATACTTCAGGCCAAGGCAACTGGTGCTACAAAAGGCACAACTCATGACAAAAATGATTTGAGAGATTTCTCCTAAGATGAGCAAGTATTTCCCAAGGATAGCCCAAGGAGCGCTGTCGGGTCGAAAAACGGCCTACATATGGCGTTACAAAAAGACCCCATAAAACAGTTCAGCGTACACACCCGAAGCGGACGAGTTCTCACGTTGTTGAGGCTGTAGAGGTTGCAGCATCCGCATCGGGACGCACACGTACGCGGGCAGCTTACTGTAGACAGCCTTTTCAATGGCACAACATGTAGACAGCTCGTCCAAACACCCCTTCCATGCAGCCTTTGTCGTCATATTCTCGTCCAACCCCAATTTACTACTGTTTTCGGCCTCATATTTCAATAAACGCCGAATTCCGCGTTTTCTTCGCCACTTTTGCGCTCTTTTGGACTATTACTTCCATTATTTGTGCGAAACGGATACCGTGGGATTATTGTGAATTGTGCCTTCAGTTGACATGGGGCACACTCTGCAGATATGACGTCTTTTTTTTTCGAGAAACTATTAATGATGATATCTCTTGATTTATTTTTGTTAATTGTATGCTTTAATCATATGTTCCTGACAATTTTTTCAGCCGACTATAACCAACAATATCCCATGCAGCAGTATCCATCACAATCGTATCCCCAGTCACAAGGCTATCCTCCTTCACAAGGCGGATATCCTCAACATGGCGGCTATCCACCTCAGCAAGGTTATCCACAAGCCTATCCACCTCATCCGACTTACTAGATTCCTTTAGTTGAGCAGTTAACTTTGTAACTTATTCCTTGTCACTCAATGTTGATGTTTCGTTGGTCGTTAACGTCTCGGGATACTTTTGTACATACGTAGGTGTCGCCTCATTCATTCCTCTCTTTCTTTTCATCTTTCCACGACGACGTTAAATTCCTCTTTCATTCGTTTTTTCTCGCTTCATTTCCCGTCGGTCGTGTCCCTCCCTTTGCGAGCCTTCCTAGCGATTTCACTTAACTTTTTTTTTCTTTTACGCTTTCATTTCGGTTGATGTTTTTCATTCGTGGAAATTCGATATAATGAGATAAAAATCTTTGGAAATTTTTTTCTCGATTTTCGTGGACATGTAAGTAAGGTCTTTGTATACCTACGTGAGGAACTAGAGGTGGTTGGACCTCCTTTCAAGCTCGTCGAAATAACCCTCCACTTCAAAGCTCGAGAAGGCGGAGTTCTTGAGTATAGGATGCTTTGTTGTTTGACTCATAGTGATTTCCCTTAGGGAACATAGCGGTTGCCAGATCGGTTATGGGGATACAGAATGTCCACAAAGGCTTTAGCAGCTTCCAGCGATGCTTTTCTCTCCCATTTCTTAAAAGGAGGTCAATGGTGATTGAGCGTTTCACGAACATCTCACTGGAGCAGACAAGCGGTTTTTTTTTGGGTGTGGGGATGACGCCTTCACCGGGCTGATGTCAGCTGATTCATAAGGATGACCGTCGTGTCAAGAAAGGGTCGTAGTCTTGTTAATTTTGAGTGCTTGATA